TAGCGGCAGGCTGTACAACCCCGGATAAGTGGAACATGCAGCCTGCCCTCACCCCTTCCTACCCTGCTGCACATCTAAGTTCACCTCATTTTAAAGACTGCTATGTTAAGGACCCGGCAGGCTAGTATGTGTCAAACATAAAATAAAATAAAACCCTGACAACAAAAATTACTATTCAAAGAGAAGTATTATTTTAGGGTGACATTATTTTTGAGATTCACAGTTTTCATTTGTTATTACATGTAGGAGTTCTGTGAACACACAGATAAGAGGGCACAATAGATATTTGACAGTGTAGTTCTCAGAACATTTGCATATCCAAGAGATTATTTCAACAAGTATACTTAGACTGACCCTATTAACCATTCACAATATTTTGTCTTGAATCCAATTCACACTCTATAGACATGTCCAATTCATATTTCATCTCTTACGCTGTTTTCCCTTTCAGACTTTGTATTAGGAAATAAATCCATAACATCAAATTTCATGACAACATCTGCTCTGGCTGACATGATTTGAAAGGGAATTTCACTCATCCCAGGTTATGCTGTCTCTTAATTTGCTCTTTGGCTTACCGGAGAAGCAGCCTGTTTTAGCAAGCCCTGTATTGAAAGAGTAAGTTCCTGATGCAGAAGAGTCACAACCAGCACTGGCCTTAGCAATGCTGAGGGGTGCCTGTAAAAGACCCCTGAAGCCATGGTATAACAGGATAGCTGGAGAGGAATCCCTGGCGAGCATGGCTTTGTAATGTAGGTCTAGGCCAGATCTGCTAAGAAAACAGGCAGAGCATCCAAGATCAAGGTGGCTCAGAGTACATAATGTACAGTGAGTGACCTTTTAATGAAAAAACAGTGATGGTCAAAATATATTTAGAGACTAGGTTTTACAGCACATGCCTTCAATCCAAGCACTCAGGAGGCAGAGTATCTCTGTAAGTTTGAAGCCAGCCTGTACTACCAGAAAGTTCCAGGCCAGCCAGGACTACATAGTGAGGCCATGTTTATCTGTATGTATGTATGTATGTATGTATGTATGTATGTATGTATGTATGTATATATGTCTACCTACCTATCTACCTACCTACCTATCTCCATATATAAGGCTGAGGAGATAGCTCAGTAGGACTGGAATTCAGATACCAAGAACCCATGTAAAAGCCAGGAGGGTATGGCAGCCCGACTGTAATCTCAGTATACAGGAGCTGGAGACAGGGGATGCTCAGAGCTCTAGGCTCAGCAGGAGACCCTGGCACCATATATGAGGTAAAGCGTCATCAAAAAAGACACCCGACATCAACAGCAGGCCTCCACACATGTGTATACATTCACTCCCCATTCAGGCACCCGCACACATGAACTCACACATACACACATGCATACCACAGATACAGACATATGCATATATAAATAGGAATTGAGATACTTGCACATTTATGTCCAGCATTATTGCAGTAGCCAAAAGACAGAAACAGCCCAAGCGCCTAACAATTAATGAATGGATGAACAAAATGTATACATAATGGAATATTAGTTACCCTAAAAAAGAATTAGGTTCACTTACATGCTCTAACAAGGATAAACTCTTAAAAGTGTTATACTTAGGGAAGTATGCCTGGCACAATAGAAAAAATATTGCACAGTATCGTTTATATGAGCTGTCGAGAAGAAAAAAATTGTAGAGAAAGAAAGTGGATTAGAGATTTCCAGGGACAGGGGCTGAGGTGGAGGAGGAGGCGGGAAGGACATATTGCTTAATGAAGACAGAGTTTCTGTTTATGGTGATGAAAAATCTTAGAATATAGTGATAGTTGCCTAACATCATGAATGTGATTAATGACCTCGAAGTACACACTTAAAAGTCATTAAAATGGGAGGCCAAGGAGATGGCTTAGCAGGTAAAAGTCCTGGAACAAGCCTGGTGGCCTGTGTTTGATCCCTGGAACCCAGGTGCAAAGCCAGATGCAGTGGTGTGCATCTGTAGTCCCGGCACTCCTGTGACAAGGTGAGGCTGGGCAGAGACCGACCAGCCAGCCTGGAGTATGTGGCCTGGAAGCAGAACCAAGAGAGACCCTGCCTCAAAGTCAAAGGAGAGAGCCAGTTCCTGAAAGTTGTCTAGATAAACCCTAAAGCCAGAATGCAATTGAAAAGGATCATCAAAGCTGCAAGGCGGGAAATAAGCAGGAGGCAGAGGGAAACAAAAAAACAAACAGAACAACAACAACAACAACACAACTAAAAAAAACACCAGAGTCTGTCTGTCGCTGGGCTTCTCTGTCCCAAGCATTCCAGAAAGCACTATAACCCATTCTTCTTTCCTGCTTGGGCTCCTGGATGGATGTGGGAGTTTGTTTATAACATAACCATGGCTGTGTTTCAAGATCTCATCATCTATGTCCAGGGCAAAAGTTCCAGCCTTGTTTGGCTGAGGCCCCTCTGGGCCAACATGCCTGACAGGGCATGAGCTCCCTGAAGCAAGCTCACTTGCAGAGAGCACCCCAGCCTAGAGGAAGAGATTTAACACGATGTCACATGTTCCGCCTTTTCCAGCCTGTCTCCTCCCACCAGGCTACCCTTGGCTTCTGCTACTTACTTACTAGGAACTCTCGTTTCATGGTTTTAGGAGAGTGAAGGGACAGTGGAAGATCCCATGAAAGGATGCCAGTCTTCTAAGACCCCACCGATTCTCAGCTCCCCCCCCCACACACACACACACCCCAGCTCCTGCTTGCTGTCGTGGGGACAGGGGGGAGTCCATTCTTCTGGAACCGTTTTGGGGAGCCCAAAGCTGACACGGGCAGCAGAAGCAGGCAGGAGGGTAATAAAGAAGTTTCCAGATCCGCGGGGGACTGTAATCACATTCCCCAACCAGGTGCTGGGAGTAGGGCTAGAGTCAAGCCAACCTTCTTGGCTGAGAGCCAACATTTCCAGGCCGCCATCCTCTTCCCAACCAGAAGCTTGTTAACTGTTTTCCTGGGCTCTTATTCCAATTTCAAGGCCCCCTCCGTGTGTTAAACTTCAAAGAAACTTTGTCGCCCCGAGTGCAGTGTTGTGTGTAACAAGTCGGACACTCCAAATGGCTCTGTTGAAAGTGGTTTGTTCAAATGAAGGGGCCCTGAACACTTAGTTATTCCCCGCCCCCCCCTCAGCCCAATAAAATTGCCTTGGTGTCTGGATTAAGTGGCTGAATATCAATCCTGAAAATTTTAAAGATGAAAAGCAGAACCGCCTCACTAATAGTTAAAATGTAAAATGATTACAAAATGGCACCTGGCCAATATTTATGAATCGTTGAATATGATCATAAAATCATAAAAAATAATCACCAAAAGGTAAATAAATTACCCGGCTTACTGCTTATTTTCGCGTAGGGTCTGCCACAAAAGCTGCAGCCATGAATGATTTATACCTGTTTTAACAATAATACTCATTTTACTGAAAGATGGTCAGCACTTGGGCTGCTGCGGGCAACATGCCAGTTGTCGAAAGGTTGATGTTTCAGCAACAATACATTAAATTATGAATAATACTGGTCCCAAAATGGAAGGTTATTAGCTCAGTATGCTTAATTAGCCCAGCTAGAACTTGGCTATCAAGTAGCAGTGCCCATTTCCAGGGCTGGAGCTATATGATGGGGGATGGTTGGGCTGCTAATGGTTCAGAGAGAGGGAGGCGGCATGGAGGCGTGTCTTTTACTTCCTTTTCATCCCTGAACACAGAAGCTGGCTTTGGGGATTTTGAACTTTCCTGTCGTGTATCTTGCAAACACTTCTTAGAGGGAAAGAGGACACATTGTTGGGGAGGAGGTTGATGCTCAGTCTGGTGGCCACCAGCTGTGATCCCATTCCACAGCTCTTGGTTGCTGCTAAGCCTGGATCCTGCCAAAATCATATAACGTACCACGTATAGGTGGGCAGATCATCAACCCTCCCTTCAGACAGATGTTTATGGACAGTTACTATGAGACAAATGAGGTAACAGAGTGAGCAACCACCAAGTTAACCAACTACGCAGTTTTGCATCGATTACAGTCTCATGGCTCCAATGAAGGATGGGTTTAGAATGTCCATACCTGGCCTGGAGTTGGGATATGGATTCTTTAGAGCAGGCTTCTATTTATTCTGTCTTCTGTTTTTGAGAAGGAGCCTTATGTACCCCCAAGCTAGCACCAAACTTGCCATTGCTATGTAGCCAAAGACGACCTGGAACTTCTGATCCTCCTGTCTCTACCTCCCTAGTCCTGGCATTATAGGCACGTGTCACCACACCTGTTTATGCCATGCTTGGGATCGAACCTGGGGCTTTGTGTATGCTAGGCAAGGACTCTACCAACTGAGAGATATCCCAAACCCCTTGTTTTGTCTTTGAAGGGATCTCCTAAAGAGGTGGCGTAGAAATCACTCCATGCAGCCAGAAAGAAGGATCCAAGAGAAAGGTCAAATACTGCTTGGAGGAACCCTTACCTGCTAGAGCCATAGGAGAGCTACTGAGTGGCTAGCATGTGCGACGTGTACCTGTGTCTGTGTGTCCTCACATGTACACACGGGTGTTACATTGAACCCCACACCTCTCTCTGCCCTCTGCCCCATTTTGGCATTACTCTGCCAGGTGCTCCAGGATCATCCTCCAAGTTTGCAGCCAGGATGTGCCCATGCCATGCCAGCTCCATCTGCTAGAAGGGCGCTGTCTGCACCACTGCTCGGCTATACTTAGTACTGTTAGTAGCTTGTTTTTCTAAGCCCTGAAATTCATTTTCTTTTCCCGCCTTGCTTCCAGAAAAATAAATAAAAGTGAACACATCACTCATTTAAGACGAGGAATGGAATTTAGGTTGCGTTTTTCTTTCTATTTTTATGATTAGTTAGAATTTTCCTGGGAACGCCGCCAGGAGGGCATTACAGTGAGATAATGTCCTGTATTTAATCGGAACTGCAATGGCGGACTGCGTTCGGTGGGGAGAGGCTGAGTTAACGCATCCTTTCTGTCTTGTCTGTTTTCAAGGGACAACCAACTACTTGGCCCAAGATGAAGATGAGCCTGAGAGATGAGGGAGATGGCAGGGCTCCAGGCTGGCATGGTGGCCTGCAGGTGGACAGGGTGCAACTGTGACTCCATCTCCTCACACGGGACCTGAGAATCCCCAGAAGAAGCTGAGTGCAAAGGGCCTCCCCCCAAACCATCCAAGGAGCTCAGCTGTGGCTCTGCATCCGCTGGGCTCTTCCAGCATCTTCTTCTGCAACTGTCTGGCATCTGCGGGCCAGGGTACACTTCTGGCTCCCAAATGAACATCTGTCCCTCCTGGTAAAGCAGTCACAGTGGGCAAGGCCTTTAAGTGAACTTGGAAGTGCATGCCAGGTAGGCCAGATCATCTCCTTGACTTCCGTGCATGTGTGCCATTTCCCTGAGAGCCTCTGGGGTGAGCGCAGCTGGCTGAGAGCTGAGTTGTGTGTTCTATGGCTGCCTGCTGAAAGCAGATGCCTGGGAGCGGTGAAATAGAAAGGGGTCTCCTAGAGAGATGTCCTAGAGAGATGTCTGAAAGGAAGGAAGGACAAAGGAGAAGGGCTTTAACATGCAGAAAGGGAGCCTGAGACTAAGTGGATGTTGTGGGTCAGCCTTTCGCTGCAAAAGAGCAGGGTGGTCAGGAAAGCAAGAGCGAGAGGTACAGAAAGCCTCGCAGATTTACTGTTGTCCCCATTAAAGCCCAGTCTGCAGGAGCCGTCTGTTCAGGTGAAGGCAGTGGAGAGAACAGGATGCCCCAAGCAACCCATAAATAGCAGGTGAAGACAACGTGTTTATTACTTAGCCTTATGAAGCCCATATAAGTGCTCTCCCAGGGTGCGCGAGTGCAGGAGCGTGTGTGCGCGCCATTGGCCCACGTGTGGGTCCCTGGAGTGTGAGTCCCAGACACTGTGTTTGCGCTTGGCTTGACTCTATGAAGGCATCCATTTGATGGAATGTACCGGAACAGTTCACCGTCGGCCCAGCAAAACCTTGTGGGGAGACAGCTTGCTTTTTCTCTTGCCTTTTCCTGTTTGCAGTGAGAACAGGGCCTTTCTCTTCTCAGCTCTTTGCTCTCCCCAAAGTTGTCTCACGAGGTCATTGCCAGATGAGAGGCTTCCTTTCAGTACAAGGTTGGATGGAAACAATACTCTGTTTTCTGGGGGGGGGGGGGGGGGGGGGGGCTGGGATGATTCTGGGCCAGACTAGCCTGCTCTAAATTTAAATGGGCTATTGTTTTAGTAGGACTGATGGTTTCTTCAGACAATTGGGGCTATGTGATATGAAACTTCATTTTGTGTGTGTGTGTGTGTGTGTGTGTGTGTGTGTGTGTGTGTGTGTGTGTGTGTGTGATGCTTTTTCAATCAATACAGAGTATCAGAAAGGAAAGGTCCAAACACTGTTTGGTTTTAAGCTAGGTTGTATCATTCACTTAATCTGTGTCCTCTGACCCATTGCTAAGTGACTCACCCTTCTTAATCCAGACTTACCTATCTGTATGATACTTTCTGGGGCTGAGGTATAGCTCCAGCTGTACTTCCCTAGCATGTCAGAAAGGCTGGGTTCAATCCCCACCACCACCTAATCCAGACATGTTGCCCATGCCTGTAATCCTTTTACCCAGGAAGTGGAAGCAGGAAGCAGAAGATCAAAGTCATCCTTAGCTGAACAGTGAGCTTAAGACAAGTCTGGATCACATGAGACCCTCCCTTAAAAAAGATACCTTCTGGGGCTGGAGAGATGGCTCCACAGTTAAAAGCACTGGCTGTTCTTTCAGAGGACCCGGGTTCAATTCCCAGCACCCACAGGGCAACTCATTGTTGCCTGTGACTCTGGTTTCAGGGGATCTGATACCTTTACACAGACATACATGCAGACAAAACACAAATGCACATGAAATAAAAATAAATTAATTTTAAAAAGATACCTTCATCATATATTTCTTTGGCTCTGATTAAAATATACTACACCCCCATGTTCACCAATAAACTTCAACATGCTTTGTTTGAATAGATTTCATATGGGCAGAATCAGTTCTGTGAGTGGTTAAGGGTTAAGGGTATGTTTTGAACATCCTACTGAATGTCTTAAAAGACTGGATGTACTCATAGGTTTGCTATAGTGAGTAGAAAGTAGAGGAGATCTGCACAGTAGAAAGAGAAAAGAACAATGTTTCCTTCTAGCATCTTGAGAGGTCCTCATAGACATTCACAGAGTTTTCAGCTACGGTCATCTCTGTGGCCGTTGGACAATATTTTCAAACTTAAGCAGCTCTTTCCAAAGCTACTCACCATCATTTCGGAATGAGGACCCAGATCTGCAAACTCCTCAGAGCAATGAGGATCAGCAACTAGACGGAACTAAGTCACCAAAACTAAGGCTGACTACTCTGGATTACCATTAATACTAATACGATCATGATTTGGGGCCTCCAAGGTGACCAGTTCAGATGATGGAGCCCAGCAAGGCCCAGTGTCTAGAATGCTGAGAGCCCTCCTCAGGCTGCTGCTGGCTGGCCAGTGAACTCCATCAATCCTACTCTCCCTGCCTCTGCACCACTGTGATGGCAGGCATGCAGGGCCACATTCGGCTTTTTATATGGGTGGTGGGGATCCTAACTCAGGTCCCTGAGCTTGCACGGGAAGTGCACTTACTCACTGAGCCGCCTCCCTTGACCAGATGCAAACATCACTTAGAGTTAGTACAATGAACTTGGAGAGTGCAGAGCAAGTATAAAGTAAGCAGCCTGAGGAGGTGGGTTTCGGAGACGTTTCAGGATCCTGTGAATGGGAAGGAGGCTAGGATTCCCAGCAGAAGGGGTACAGCACATCTTCGAGCATCACATGTAAGCTCTGGGAAGGAATGAAAAAGAATGGAGATGAGGTTGGGATCACCAGGCTCAAAGCGAGTACAGCTTGTGTTAAGGAGTATTTCTTCATCCTGGAGACACTTCCCCAGACTTGGACGCTGATGATGCTCTCCATATCTTGCAGTCGTTTAGAAAACACTCAGTATCACTGCATGTCCATTTCCCAGGGCAATAGGGTGCCTTGGGCTCTTATGTCTCAAAAATGAGACCCCTGCTGGTGTACTTATCCGGTCTAGAGATGAATCTTGGATAAAGGACTTCTGTTGTCAAATACCATGCTGATTCATGCTAGGCACTAGATGTTCAGTGGTTAGTGAAGTTCCTGAACCCACAATTCGACTACAAAGTGGTCCCTGATGTGGTTTGCGGTATGTCTTCTATTTGATTTTTCCTTGGCAGAAGACAAGTGTAGGGGTCTTGGGATGTAGCTTGGTTGGTAGAGTACTTACCTAGAATACATGGAGCCCTGGGTTTGATCCTACCATCACATAAGCAAGAGGTGGTAAGTGCATACCTAGAATTCTAGCTCTCAGGAGGTAGAGACAGGAAGATCGGGCATTTAAAACTGTCCTTCAAGCCAGGCATGGTGGTGCACACCTTTAATTCCAGCACTTTAATAGGAGGCAGAGGCAGGAGAATCTCTGTGAGTTCAAGGCCAGCCTGGTCTACAGAGTGAGTTCCAGGACAGTCAGGGCTATGTAGAGAGATCCTTTCTCAAAAAACAAAAAAAAAAAAAAACCAAAACAAAACAAAAAAACCAAAAACAAACAAGGTTGTCCTTGGCTATGTTTCAAGTTTGAGGCTAGCCAGAAATACATGAGACATTGTCTCAAAAAAAGAAAAGAAAAGAAACAGACAAAAGATCTGCGTGAATTAGGAGATAAAGTCTATCATTTAAGGTGTGACACAATTTCTGACTTTGAAATCTAGTGTATGTCTGTGCAGCCTGTTAAAATATGTGCTCAGGGTTATGTTGTGTCCAAATACAGAGGCCCTTCCAACCTTCAGGCCTTATAATGAATCATGTCTTTCTGCTTCTGGCTCCTTCTGATCATGGATCATGGATCCAGAGAGCTGTAACCTCCCTTTCAGCAGCTCAGTTGGGTCAAGGCTCTCCAGTGACTGTATGCCTGGATACTACTATAGATGGAAGAAGGTCAGCCTTCATTTGCTACAAGGAACTCCTATGAATAATTCTCCCTCTGTCTCAACCTCCCTGATTTTCTGAGTCTATGCATTTGATTGCCTTGAACTTCCAAGACCTACCTGGTAATGGTTTGAACCTCACTGGTTGTATGAGTTTACACCCCAATAGTATTTTAATCTGCCATGCCTACCTGGTCCAAAGCTTTGTTTGAGCTTGGCTCCCTAACCCTCCTTTTGTCTGAGTTAACTCTTCACATGTTCTCCATACCTTGATTTGACGTTCAGGTCATCTTTCTTATATCCCAGGCTAGATATAATGGTGAAGAGGTGAAGACAAGTTATAAAATGAAATGAAAATCTGACTTGATTTTAAAAGGTTGTTAATCCCTTATAATTTAAACTATTTGGGCTACGAAGATGAATCAGAGGGTAAGAGCATTTGCTGTGCAAGCACAAGGACCTGAGTTTAAATCCCTGGCACCTGTGTAGAAAGTTGGGCATGGCTGCATGCATACCTGTAACTGCAGAGCTGTGGGGAGAAGAGACAAAGGGACCACTGGGCTCCAGGTTCTGTCTGAGACCTTGTCTCAAGACAATAAAGCAGGAAAGTGATAGAGCAGGGCACTCAGTGTCCTTCCCTGGTGTCCACACACATGCATGGGTGCAACACACACACACACACACACACACACACACACACACACACACACACACACACACAGAAATATTTCCTGATCTTTGAACCATATGAAAACTCAGGATGTATTAGAATTTGGAGATCCCATTCTTTACTACTGAAAAGAGCTCAAAGGGGCATGAAGAAAGTAATCTCCATGGAAGAGGATGTAGGAATGCCACTTGCTTATAGAGTCTCACGACATTCTCGTCTGTCACCCTCCATTTTTAATTAGAGTTATCATTGTATCTCAGGGGTTGTCTGGAGGCTTCATTAAATCTACCAGTTTCCACGTGACATTTAAAACTGGTGATGTTTAAAATCTTGACCACATCAAAGCGATAACAGTTGGGAGGGAAATGTGTGTGTATGGTCCAGGGGCTTCCAGCAAAGTGTTTCACTACTATAAGATGAAGACTTCCCATGGGTCCATGTGAAAAGCAGCCCTCTTTTCTTTGGTACGTTTGATTCACACCCACCTGACATTCCTGGGTTTTCACAGTATCAAGTTGCAGCTTTAGAATCTGTCATTGAGAGCCCATTTTGTGAGCCGGTCTTACAATATCCTCTTGGAGTTCTTCCCCAGCAGTCTGCCTTCTGAGTGGAGTTCACCAGGTGCCTTTCCAGGCTACCAGGCAAACCTACAGCTATGACATGTGTTCCAGA